TGCCTGCCTCTGCCTCCCAAGTGCTGGGATTAAAGGTGTGTGCCACCACGCCCGGCTATTTTATCTTTTTAATGAGTGTTTTGTCTGCATGTCTGCATGTATGTAAGTGTATCACATGTGTGCAGTGTCCACAGAGACCAGAAGAGGGTGTCAGATAGAACTGGAGTAACAGGTGATTGTCAGCCACCATGTGGGTATTGGGACTCAAACCCAGATTCTCTGGAAGAACAAGTTTCCTTAGTCACTGAGCCATCTTTCCAGCCTACCACTGATTATTTCCAACAAACTGAGGATAGGGCTGTTTGCACTGAGGATTTTATGGGTTGCACCAAATAAAGACAACCCAACTGGGTGTGGTGGCATGTGCCTTTAATCTCTGCACTCAGCAGGCAGAGGCATTCTCTGTGAGAATGAGGCCAGCTTGCTCTAACAGCAAGTTCCAGGCCAGCTGGGAATATAGGGAGATATTTTTTTTGTCTCAAACAACAACAACAACAATAATAATACCAATAATAATAAAGATAAGTCTTGAAAATGGTACCTTTTTTATGAAGCTGCCAGACATTCACCAGTGAGTTTTCTGGGGATACACTTTTGGGGGACCTCCAAACATGTCACCACTAGTCTGTCCCTCCCTCCTTCCCTTCCTTCCTTTCTTCTTTCAAGACAGAGTCTCATGTGGCTTGGGCTAGCCTCAAACTCACTATGTAGTTGTGGAAAACCTTGAATTTATGATTCTCCTGCCTCCATCTCCTGAGTGCTGGTGTTACAGATGAGACCACCATGCCTAGCTTTACCTGGTACTTGTTTTTATTTTATGAGTGTAAGTATTTTGCCTGCATGAATGTAAGTGTACTGTGTGCATACAATGCTTGTGGAGGCCAGAGAGGGCATCAGAGCCACTGGAACTAGAGTTACGATGGTTGTTAGCCACCATGTGGGTGATGCAAACCAAACCTGGAGTCTTCTCTAAGAACAACCAGTGTTCTTAACTGCTGAGCCATCTCTCCAGCCCCCCACCACCATTTTTTTTATAAACCACCTTGTGTTGTTGTAAATCATCAGCTAATTTCTAGAGTTCTGAAGTTCATTCATACAGTTTTGCCAGTGTCCTTCTCCTTGTTGCCTTTGCTCTTAATAGAATTTACTCAATTGTAAGTTCATATAATTTGGTGGTTTTGTTTTTTCCAGACAATGTCTCATGTAGCCCAGGCTATCCTTGAACTCACTATGTAGTTGAGAATGACTTCGAATTCCTGATTCTCCTGTCTCCATCTCCCAAGTGCTGGGATTACAGGTGTGTGCCACAAATTTCTTTCTTTTTGATTTGTGTGTGTGTGTGTGTGTGTGTGTGTGTGAGAGAGAGAGAGAGAGAGAGAGAGAGAGAGAGAGAGAGAGTGAGAGAGAGAGAGTCCCCCTGTACCCCTGGATGGCCTGGAACTCTCTATGTAGACCAGGCTGGCCTTGATCTCACAGAGATTCACCTGCCTCTGCCTCCTAGATGCTGGGATTAAAGGTGTGGGTCACAATGCTCAGCCATAATTTCATTTTTAAAAATGGCTGTGTTTAGAGGGTTGGGAGATAGCTCAGTTGGTAGACTGCTTGCCTAGTACTGGGTTTAATCTCTGGTATCACATATACCAGGTTTGGTGGCATATGCTTGTAATCTAATCACTTGGGAGGTAGAGGCAGGAAGATCAGAAGTTCAAGGTATCCTCTGCTACATATCAAGTTGGGGGCCAGCCTGAGTTTCATGAGATCTTGCCTAAAAAAAAAAAAAAATCACTGTGTCTAACAACTGTTACACAAAATTTCTAAAGTTTTTTAAAATTTATTGTTTATGTTTATGACTGTTTTACTTGCATGTATATAAGTACACCATGTGTGTGCAGTGCCCTCAAAGGCCAGAAGAGGATCCCCTGGAACTGAAGTTACAGAAGTTGATAGCAGTCATATGGGTGCTGGGACTTGAACCTGGGTCCTTTGCAAGAGCAGCCAGTGCTGTTAACCAATGAGTTATCTCTCCAGCACTGAAGTCCTAAAGACTTAACTGGCTTTCAAGAGTTGCTCCAGTGCTTCACCAACAGGACTCTCCTGGATACCCCATTGGATCCAGTTGAGATCTGCAGACCTTTTGGGTATCTTGTAGGCACCAGATCACCAGAGATGCAACATGCCCAGTACTAAACAGACTCGATATCTTTCAACATGCAGGGCTCCACCAGCAGCTAGCTGGCAGGACACACAGTGCCAGCAGGGTCTTCCAAAAGATAGCTTAGCATGGAGGAAATCTCAGAGAAGGCTGCAGACATGTGCAAACAGTTAAAAGAAATGTTGCATTATCGCTTCTAATCTTAGGGAATCTGCTAACAGCTGTTTTTTTCTGACTCCTGGGTAAAACTTAACTGAGCCAACACATCTTTGTTTTATAAAATCTTTAACTGGACTCTTCAAGACACATAGTGGGCAAGGGTAGAAAGAGTGAGGTGGGAGCCAGGGTAAAGGTTTCCATTAGACACCCTCTGAGGAATGTGCACCTTAACCCGAGCTTGGTGCAAGGAGAAAAACAGTTTGTGTGTGTGTGTGTGTGTGTGTGTGTGTGTGTGTGTGTGTGTGTGTAGGCTCAGTACTTAACTTAGGCATTTATTAAAAACCTCTCTAATGGGATGGGGGAGAAGCATATGCACTGGTAGAGGACCGAGGTTTGGTTCCCAGCACCTACTCTGGCGGCTCACAACCACCTGTAACTCCAGTTCTAGGAGATCTGATTTCTTCTAGCCTCTGTACACGGGCTACATACATATACTTAAGCACAAATGCAAACACATAAAATAAGTATTTTAAAAGACCCATCTAATGACTTAGCTGTGTAAAATGTTATAGAGAAATGAAAACAAAATACCTTCTTTAAATAAACTCTATAGAGAACATACAGGAAATGCTATGTGACTTTCATGCTAAAAATAGTCTAAACAGAACCAAAAGTTCTATATCTTTTAAAAGGAAAT